CTTAAAGGGGAAAAAAAAAAAAAAAAAAGATACAGGATATAAATGGAAAAGTTTCCAGTGAAATAGATAGTATAAATAAAAAATAATCACAATATTAGGAAATTAAGGGCACACTTATATAATTGCAAAATGCACACTAAGATAATTGCAAAATGCAAAACGTGATTCTATTGCTGGAAAGTCTCAGCAATGTAATTGAACAACAGATGAAAGAACTTCAAAGCTTGAAGACGAGGCTTTTGAATTAACTCAATTCAACAAAGACAAAGAAAAAAGAATTAAAGAAAATGAACAAAGCCTTCAAGAAGTTTGGAATTATGTTAAATGAGCAAACCTAAGAATAATTGGTGTTCCTGAGGAAGAAGAGAAATCTAAAAGTACGGAAAATATATTTGACGGAATAATTGAGGAAAACTTCCCTGGCCTTGGTAGAGATCTAAACATCAAAATACAAGAAGCTCAAAGAACAACTGGGAAATTTATCACAAAAAGATCATTGCCTAGGCACATAGTCATCAGGTTATCTAAAGTCAAGACAAAGGAAAGAATCTTAAGGGTTGTGAGGCAAAAGCATCAGGTAACCTATACAGGAAAATCTATCAGATTGACAGCAGATTTCTCAGCAGAAACCCAACAAGCTGGAAGGGATGGAGTCCTATCTTTAGCCTCCTTAAGCAAAACAATTATCAGTCAAGAATTTGTATCCAATGAAACTAAGCTTCACAAATGAAGGAAAGCGACAGTTTTTTTCAGTCAAACAAATGCTGAGAGAATTTGCCACTACCAAGCTGGCACTACAAGAACTGCTAAAAGAAGCTCTAAATATGGAAACAAATTCTTGAAACACACCAAAATAGAATCTCCTTAAAGTATGAATCTCACAGGACCTTTAAAACAACAACACAATGAGAAACAAAACAAAACAGAAATGTATTCAGGCAACATATAGCACAATGAATAGAGTAGTACCTCACATCTCAATATAAACACTGAATGTAAGTGGCCTAAATGTTTTACTTAAAAGATACAGAATGGCAGAATGAATAAATATTCACCAACCATGTATCTGGTGTCCAAAGACTCACCTGACACATAAGGAATTACATAAACTGAAGGTAAAGGCATGGAAAAAGATATTCCATGCAAATTGACACCAAAAGCAAGCAGGAGTAGCTATTGTTATGTCAGACGAAACAAACTTTAAAGCAAAAGCAAAAGAGGGATATTATATAATGATAAAAGGACTAGCCCAACAGGAAAATATCACAATCCTAAATATATACATATATGCACCTAACACTGGAGCTCCCAAATTTATAAGATAATTACTACTAGACCTAAGAAATCAGAGAGACTGCAGTACAATAGTAGTTGAGGACTTTAATACTCCACTGATAGCACTAGACAGGTCATCAAGACAGAAAGTCAACAAAGAGACAATGGACTTAAATTATACCCTAGAACTAATAGATTTAACAAATATTTACAGAACTTTTTGTCCAACAGCTGCAGAATATACTTCTATTCATCAGCACATGGAACATTCTCCAAGATAGACCATATGACAGGCCACAAAACAAGTCTCAACAAATTTAAGAAAATCAAAATTATAGCAAGTACTCTCTCAGACCACAGTAGAAAAAAAATTGGAAATGAACTCCAAAAGGAACCCTCAAAACCATGCAAATACATGGAAATTAAATAATCTGCTCCTGAAGGATCATTGGGTCAACAATGAAATCGAGAGGGAAATTTAAAAAATTCTTACAACTGAGCAATAATAGTGACACAGCCTATCAAAACCTTGGGGATACAGTCAAGGTGGTGCTAAGAGGAAAGTTCATAGCATTAAATGTCTACATCAAAAAGTCTGAAAGAGCATAAATAGACATTCTAAGGTCACACCTCAAGGAGCTAGAGAAACAAGAACCGAAGCCAAATCTAGCAGAACAAGAGAAATAGCAAAAATCAGAGCAGATCTAAATGAAATGGAAATAAAAACAATACAAAACATAACTGAAACGACAAGCTGCTGCTTTGAAAAGATAAATAAAATCGATAGATCATTAGCAAGATTTACCAAGAGAAGAAGAGAGAAGATCCAGGCAAGCTCAATGAGAAAGGAAATGTGAGATATTACAAGCAATACCACAGAAATACAAAAGATCATTCAAGGCTACTATGAACACCTTTCTATGCACAAACTAAAAAACTCAGAGGAGATAGATAAATTCCTGAAAATATACAACCCTCCTAGATTAAATCAGGAAGAAATAGAGACTCTGAACACACCAACAGAAAACACCAAGATTGAAATGGTAATTTACAAAGTTACCAACCAAAAAAAAAAAAAAAAAAAAAAAAAAAAAAAAAAAGTCTGGGACCAGACAAATTCAAATTCACAGCTAAATTTTTTCAGACATTCAAAAAATAATTGATACCTATCCTACTGACACTATTCCAAAAGATAGAGAAAGAGGGAATCCTCCCTAAATCATTCTATGAAGCCAGTATTGCCCTAATACCCAAACCAGTAAAGGATATAATTTAAAATGAAAACTACAAACCAATATCCCTGATGAACATAGATGCAAAAATCCTCAACAAAATACTAGTTAACTGAATCCAACAGCATATCAAAAAGGTAATCCAACATGATCAAGTGAATTTCATACTAGGGATGCAGGGATGGCTTAACATTCAGAAGTCAATAAATGTGATACACCACATAAACGGAATTAAAAATTAAAATAACATGATTATATCAATAGATACAGAAAAAACTTTTGAAAAAATCCAGCATCTCTTCATAATTAAAACTCTCAGCATTCCCTCTGAGAACTGGTACAAGGCAAGGATGCCCACTCTCACTACTTCTATTTAACATAGTACTGGAAGTCTTAGCCAGAGCAATCAGACAAGAGAAAAATATAAAGTGCATCCAAATCAGTAAAAAGGGAGTCAAGCTGTCACATTTGCTCATAACATGATCTTATACCTCAAAAACCCTAAAGACTCATCCAAACAGCTTTTAGAACTGGTGAATGAATTTGGCAAACTTTCAGGATACAAAATTAATGTACACAAATCAGTAGCTCTGCCATACACCAACATTGACCAAGCTGAGAATCAAATCAAGAACTCAACCCCTTTTACAGTAGCTGCAAAAAAACAAAATACTTAAGAATACACCTAACCAAGGAAGTAAAAGACCTCTACAAGGAAAACTACAAAGCACTGCTGAAAGAAATCATAGATAACACAAACAAATGGAAACACAACCCATGCTCATAGATGGATAGAATCATTATTGTGAAAAATGACCATATTGCCAAAAGCAATCTAGAAATTCAATGCAGTTCTCATAAAAATACCACCCTCTTCCTTCACATAACTAGAAAAAAAACCCTTAAAATTCATATGGAACCAAAAAGAGCCCATGTAACCAAAGCAATACCAAGCAAAAAGAACAAATCAGGCGGCATTACATTACTTGACTTTAAACTATACTATAAAGTTGTAGTCACCAAATCAGCATGGCACTGATATAAGAACAGGTGTATAGACCAATGGAACAGAGTAGAGAACCCAGAAATAAATCCAAATACAGTCAACTGATTTTTGACAAAGCAAACAAAAACACAAAGTGGGAAAGGACACCCTATTAACCAAATGGTACTGGAATAATTGGCAAGCCACATGTAGAAAAATAAAACTGGATCCTCATCTCTCACCTTATACAAAAATCAACTCAAGATGGATCAAAGACTTAAATCTAAGACCTCAAACCATTACGATTCTAGAGGACAACATCAGAAAAACCCTTCTAGACATTGGCTTAGGGAGAGACTTTATGACCAAGCATATGCAAAACATTTTTTTTCTTGCTTCAACAACAACAAAGATAAATATATGGAACTTCATTAAAGAGCTTTTGCATGGCGAAAGAAATAATCAGCAGAGTGCACAAACAACCCACAGTCTGTATTGAGACTAATATTGAGACTCTACGAGGAACCTAAACAAATTGGCAAGAAAGAAACAAACAATCCTATCAAAAAGTAAGCTAAGGGTATGAATAAACAATTCTTAAAAGAAGATATACAAATGGTCAACAAACATATGGAAAAAAATGCTCAACGTCTATAATGATCAGGGAAATGCAAATCAAACCACAATACAATACCATCTTACTCCTGCAAGAATGGCCATAATCAGAAAATAAAAAAATAATAGATGTTGATATAAATGTGGTGAAAGTGAACACTTTTACACTGCTGGTGGAAATGTAAACTCGTACAATCACTATGGAAAACAGTGTGGAGATTCTTTAAAGCACTAAAAGTAGATTTACCATTTGATCCAGTAATCTCACTCCTTGGTATCTACCCAGAGGAAAAGAAAGATATTATACAAAAAAGATATTTGCACATGCATGCTTACAGCAGCACAATTTGCAATTGTAAAATATGGTACCAGCCCAAATGCATATTAATCAACGAATGAATAAAGAATATGTGATATATATACACATCATGGAATACTCCCTAGCCATAAAAAGGAATTAAATAATGACATTTACAGCAACTTGGACGGAATTGGACACCATTATTCTTCGTGAAGTAACTCAGGAATGGAAAACTAAACATCGTATGTTCACAATGATAAGTGGGAGCTAAGCTGTAAGGACACAAAGCCATAAGAATGATACAATGGTCTCTTGGGGACTTAGGGGAAAGGGTGGGAGTGGGTTGAGGGATAAAAGACTACACATTAGGTACAGTGTACACTGCTCGGGTGATGGGTGCACCATAAATCACCACAAAAGAACTTACTCATGCAACCAAACACCACCTGTTCCCCAAAATTATTGAAATAAACAAAAAATAAAATAAAATAAATGAATATTGAAATCAGCATCTAAAAGTCAGGTGAAAGTTAAATAGTATGTACTATATATGCCTGATGAATATTATAAACTTAAAAGTTATGTTTAGGACAGTTTTATTACTAGTAGTAATGTTATAACAATATAATGAAAGGATACAAAATTGCATATTCAAAATAAGTAAGCTATATGAAATAACTTGAGTTTTGTGAATAGTTTTAACAAGGTTGACGATTATTTCTTCATTAATTTTTTCTTGTGATTTTTAATACTTAATTTTTTCTCCTATAAGCATGACTTATTTAGGACAAAATGAGAAAACAAGCACAATTTTATAATAAAAATTTATTAAGCATTAATTTAGCAAAAATATGAGATTGATTTTAGCCTGGTATTTGCAAAAGGTGGAGAGCGAGCAGTTTGATACAAAAATATTCTTTATCAAAAATTGACCTTTTCATACAGCAGATTCATAGATACCATAATGCCTTCATTTTCCTAGAGAAAGTAGAAGAAAAGAACATGAGTAATTTGGCTATTAGAGGTAAGATGTAAATATAACTAATCTCTACTGTGAGAAATACCTTCACAAAAGGGCTACGAACCTGTCATCCCCAAATGGGAAGATCTGTACTAGGGCCTCATTGCCTCAGCATAGATTTAGCAGCTAGTCTAACATATGGTACAGGAAAACCTCATCACAAACAGAGGAGAACATAACTCAGTAAAAGCGACTTTTGGGTGAAGAGAGACAAACACTGGATATACATCACATTTCCAATGACTTTTCTTTCCGCGTACATCATTATCCAATACTCCCCACTCACTGAGTAGTTCCTTGAGAGAAATTAGACATAAAGGATTTTCTAGCTGACCGCTATTGGGCTACCATTACTTACACAACCATTATGCTATGACTGATGTAATATAAAACCAGGGTTTCACTGGGGGTCACTAAGAAAAGGAAAATAACACAAGCCTTCTCTATAACTAGCGGGCAGCTGACATGCCATCATTATTCTCCATTCTATCCAGACTTTCTGAATAGATGAACAGGGAGCACCCAAATCCACTTCTAGAATATATTTACCTGAGTTGCTTTTTATGAGTTTTAATTCCCAGGAAAGAGATAGAAATATCGTGTCATGGATAGTCTTTCAATGGTGGGCAACTGGGTCACTACATTTGGTGTCTCAAATGAACGTTGAACCTAAAGTAGTAAAGAAAGCCTTTAGAGATGTTCTAAAAGGAAAACCTGACTCTTTCAGGAGTGAGAAAAGTCATGGTGTGTATTAAGGCTGTAGCTAGGTAATGTAAACAGAAGATATTTTTAGCTTTTCCTTAGATATAGCACATACACAAATGAATTCTTACTCTAAAAAGAATTCCCTGGGTGAGCAAATCTATCAAAGTCAGGTTATTGGGAAAACCCACACTGGTTCTATGTAGCATTTTGGAAGACCCCATCTTTGAATAAACTTGGAATACAGGAAGGATTGTCAAGATGAATTAAGAGCTTTGGGATTTCCTATAAAAATTCACAAATGGTTCTCCAAAATTTTCTGGGGCATAACATTGAAAATAAAGGAAGACCCCTACCTTTCGAAAAATTTCTTCTAGATGATGACTCCAAGAATACTCTTTGAAGTAGTAGATAATTTGGGAAATGAAGACAGAGCCACTTATTTCATGCCTCCAAGAAACATTATCTGCAAATAAAAGGCATCAAAATATTGGAGGATGTGATCTTTTATACATGTGGAAGATTCCTGGAGCAATACCTTTGGGACAAAATCTGATTTTGTTTCTTCAGAGAAGAGAGGAAAACCAATGCTAATAAAGATGGTACCTCCAGCTTCCATGGCAGACCCGGAAAAAACCATCATGGACCCTCACTCATAAATCCCCTTGACTTTTCTAGTAGGCTAGACTGAAGTGATATCCTCTGGGTTTGCAAGTGGTGGAAAAGAGTGTAAGTCCTTTCAGCACTAACTACATAAGAGAAAAATAATACAGCCTTGACATTCCTTGATTCTGGGCCCTTTCTTCATCCTGACTTGTTTCATACTATATATTTTTGTGTACTTTTTGTTATGTTGTATAAAAATATTTTCAATGACTGCTTCTGTTTACCATTTCAATATGACCAAGTTGCTCCTATAATTTAGAAAGAAAAGGCAATACTTCTCTAACTACTGCTTTAGTTGCAGCCAGCTGCTGATTTCTCCTTACTTTTTAAAGTCAAAATTCCAATTCTGTCTATATTCATCATTCCATTTCCCTTATCCTGCTCACCCCTATTAGGCTTCCCCTTCCTATACCTAACATCAACTTTGCCAAATGGCTTTCCCCAAGGTCACCATGACCTCCAAGTTACTAAATCTAATAGTCATTCATCAACCCTTACCTAGATCTGATCTTTCATTCACATCAGAAACTGTTGGAACTCCAACAGATTCTTTGTTGGTAAATCTAGCAACGCATACTCCTTATGTTCTTTCTTATTCTCTGATTCTACTTTGCGAGTCAAATTTACTGGTTCCTATTTCTCTAGTATTGAACTCTAGGGTAATTTTAACCTCTATTTCAAGGTCCCCTCTTATGCAATTCTCAATTCTTAGATGATTTCATCCATTTTTAGGATATTAAATATTATCCTTAGACAAGCATCTCTCAAAATTTTATCCCACATGCAAATCTCTCCTCTGAAATATACAACTGTGCAGCTCCCTACTCTTCATTTCATCTCAAAATATGCCAAAGCACCTCAAAACTTCCTGCAAAACTCCCATTTTAACTAATGCCCCACCGTTTACTTGCATGCTGGAGTCACTTCTATCACACCTTATTATTCACGTACCATATATTCACCAAACCACTGGATGGTCAGTCATATTATTTTTGTATACTAATTGCTTCTTAGATACAAGAACTTACTGCATCCCAAGACTATTAGTATCATCTATGGCTTAATATATTGTGCTAGCATTTAACCTGTCCTCATATATCGACTCTTGCTGTACTATAATGTATTCCACACTGAAACTCCAGAATGATCTTCAAAAACAAAGATCTTATCATTTAATTGCTTACAGCCTAGTTGAGTTTCCTATTACTATTAGTATGGAGGACCATATAAGGCCTCAGGTGTTTCAGTGCCTGCCTCACTCTCTAGACTCTATATTAGCATCTCTCCTGATGCTGTGTTCCAGCCGCCCAGCCCTCTCTCCTAAGCTTCTTTTTTGTCTGTAAGTTCTCCATACGCACTGCCTTTCCTGTCTAATAAGTTCCTCTCTTACCCTTGATTTGTTAACTCCTTCATTTCTCAAATGTGAACACATATTTTTTTAAGGCTTTTACCAGAGTTAACAATTATTATTTATTCTTGTTAAGTGCCTGCCTTTCTGGATATAAGCTCCATGAAGTTCAGTAACCATACCTGCTTTAATTGTGCATCGTATGTCTTGCACTGAGCCCAGGCCTAGCACAAAATTACGTGCAAAAGAAAGAAAAAAGAAAGAAAGAGAAAGAGAGAGAGAGTGGAAGGAAGGAAAGGAAGGAAGGAAGGAAGGAAGGGCAGGCGGGAGGGAGGAAAGGAGGAAGGGAAGAAGGGAAAGCGAGAAAGAAAAAGACAGGAAGAAAGCAAGAAAGCAGGAAAGAGAAAGAAAGAGAGAGAAAGGAAGGAAGGAAAGGAAGGAAGGAAGGAAGGAAGGAAGGAAGGGCAGGCGGGAGGGAGGAAAGGAGGAAGGGAAGAAGGGAAAGCGAGAAAGAAAAAGACAGGAAGAAAGCAAGAAAGCAGGAAAGAGAAAGAAAGAGAGAGAAAGGAAGGAAGGAAAGGAAGGAAGGAAGGACGGAAGGAAGGAAGGAAGGAAGGAAGGAAGGAAGGAAGGAAGGAAGGAAGGAAGGAAGAATTTTGCATATTGTATTGTATTTCCCCAAATAAATTAAGTATACTTTCAGAATTTGTACCAGGCCTTATATACCTCTTCAACTTCCTTTAACAGCTGTTAGTGTAGAACTTAATTTTCAAATAAAATCTTATTAAAACTCGAATACATGACAAAGGGAAGCCACTTGAGTTGTTTATTCCCCAGGATGGACTCAGAGTGTCCTCTAGCCCCTCAGTGCTCACATGCAGCCACAAACAACAGCCCTAATCACAACAAAGCTTTTAAGAAAGGCAGAAAGTCAGGCCCCACCCCAGATTTACTGAATAAGAAATCTACTGCATAAGCAAACTACTGAACAAGAAATCGAGTGATTTCAATGTTCATTAAAATTTGAAATCCATAAATTAGAGCATTTAGAACTGTGAACTGTGCAAAGGAGTATTTAAAAATTGCTCCTGTTATCCAAATCATTGATAGAATAATATTGTGGGTGATTGTTAAAGAAATCTGCAATTTTGACCATGAGTGATAAAGAATATTCTCTATTTTTACATTGCATTGTGACTTTCCAGCCAAAGGACTGATTTTTTTATTCATTGACTTCATTATCCAAAATTAGTTAACATTTAGGCATTTAAATGTTAACTAGTTTTCTGAAACTAGATTAATAATAATAGGCCAAGAGTTACTGGGATGTGTGAAGCAAGCATAATGGTTTCAGTGGTTGGCTTCTTTAATTGCTGGTAAGTGACTGTGGAGCTACACTGTGAGAAAATGATACCTTTCTCTGCCATTGCTACATTCAAAAAACAAAATCAGATAACACCTCACTTTTTGTAGTTAGATTATTCCAGGTCTGGATGTTCACCAAAGTCCTTCCAAAGTCCTGTTAACTTTGAACGTTTCTTCCCAAATCAAGATTTATAGCTTTCTAATTATGAAAGTCTCAGCATTTTAAATCTTTTCTCCACCTAAAATATCCTAGTAATTAGAGAAGAAATGCTCTTATCAGTGATAAGATATAATCATAGCCAAGTCGACTATCTAGCAGCCTACAAGGAAATCTAGAAACTATTCTCTCTGAAATCACTTACGTGGTGTGGAAGATTTGAAAGCAATGAAGTCCTTTTCCACATGAGCCTTTGTGACAGCATCATTACAGATGCTACTTTGCAAGAGCTGACCATGTGTATCTGCACTGGCTTTTCCGCTGTCAGTAGTGAACCAAACAATCCCAGCACCACCTGGGAGAGATATTATGTCTTATGAAACATGAGGTATTTATAAATACACATATACATATGCAAACACAAACACACATGCATACACATACACATATGCACACACATGCCCATATACATACACACACATACATACACACACACACATACACATATGCATATACATACACACATATACACATATGCATACGCATACACATACACATACACAGTACTGTCTCTTTTACCATAATACCTTTACTTTAGTACATTTTCTCATGGCATTACTTAAAAATGCAAGTACCTTACTACTAGAAATACTGCCTCACTTACCGGGAACAAAACAGAGCCCACTTGAGTTTAGAACAACCATGTTGACAACATCATCCCAGATGATTGGGATGTTTCTAATTATTCTACTTATAGTTTCTTTAAAAAACGGTATGGACTTAATACAATTTCGAAGTGCACTGGACCTAGGAATAGTACTGAAATGTTGTTTATCTTGCTTATCCCTAGGAAAATGAAGTATAAACACCAGGCTAATTTTAAAAGTGCACAGCCACTCCCGGGGGTCTCAAAATCAAGATTTATAGCTTTCTAATTGGAGACTCACTGCCTCGGCAGGCTTGCATGATGATGACCTTGGGTTTGTCTCTCAGACTCCGGCAGTTACGGTTGTTGAAAATTTCGAAGATGGTGTCATCGTGAAGAACATCTGGCTCTTGATCCCAGTGCTTAGTTCCACAGATTCCATTCAGGATGCCATGTGACATGAACACCAGGAATGTGCTGTCTGAGGACTGGTGCTCTGGGCGAGCAGCAAACTGCCTTAGGGCTGTTTCCATTTCCTGAAAGAGACCCTTGAGTCACTATCGAGGAAGTCTCCACATGTGTACAGTTTGTACTTAAATAGTAGGTGGGGTTCACAAAAATGAGCCAGTACTAAGGAATCAGATGGTGTAGACTGAATGGGAGTGTAAGATAAATAGTGTTCTGACATAAAACTAGAAAATTTAACTGTATAGAATATTAAAGCTAGTAGGGTTTTTATGTAGTATCTTGCCCAGTGGTTTTCAGTAAAACCTTAGGTTTCTGAAGATGCTGGGAGATGGAATAAAATGAAGGCCAAGTGAGATGACAAGACACCAACAGGGCCACTTTGCTATAATCTGTTTAACAATGGTGTTCTTGTAAGTTTTTATTTTAAAAGATAAAATTGACAAGTATTAAAAATATGAAATTCCTTCACTATGGAGCTGCAGAAAGTTAGTTTAAAATGGTCTAAGGTCATGCAAAACAGAGCTAGAATCACAACTTTTTCATTATATATTTGTGTGTATGTGATTTTTTCACCTATACCTGCCTTTACGTTTAGACCCTTGCTATGGACATTTTTAAAAATCCACAAGCTAATTCTGTAGGAATCAGACATGGCAGCATGGCGGGGTGTGGGGCTTTTATCTTAACCAGACCATCTAGTAGTCTCCCAGATTGTGAACATCAGAAAGACCTAATATTTTCACTAAAACTCTGCTACATAGAATTTATCTAATCACACACACACACACACACACGTACATGTTATAAGATGGTGCATTAGAGAAGGCTGAAATCCACGGGATCCTATTCTGGAGAAAATATAATTCCTATAATATCATACATCTTGCTCTTGTAGCTACCAATTAAGAGGTTGAAAATTATCTAAAGGAAAAAAAAAAAGAAAAAAAAAAGGAAAGCTTGTTCTGCTCTCTGGAGCCATTACCTGAGCTGTGAGATTCTCTTCTATAACCACTGAGTATCCAAGGTTTTCAAGTAGATCTTGCATCCCCAAAAGGTCAAGTTCAGAACCATTTCGATTAAGAAGATAGTGGAATTCTTTGTTGCAGATGATGAGGGCCAGGCGTGTTCGGCCCTCTTTCTCCATCACTGGATATATCTGCAATTAATACACACAGAATGACTTTCCCCAGGCCTTTTCCTTTTTGCCTCCAAAGTTCATACACAACAGGCCAGTATAAATATATAGTAAGTGACACAAAGTTTCTGCGTGAAAATACACCCTCGTGAGGAAAGAGGCAGAAAACCAGACTGAAAGCATGTACGAGGTGCAAGTGTTCACTGTACGAAGTTGGCTTCAGTTAGGTGGTGGAGAGGAGTTTAGACTGTGTCCCAAAGTGAGATTGAAGAAACAGAAAATGTAATGTGAAGACCAATCAGTTAGATCATTTCCTGATCTTAAGGCCTTTGTGACGAGAGTTAAAGCATCCCAGTAAGTCCCCAGTGTCTTGTCTGAATGAGTAATCTTATGACTCCCTATTTCAAAGCATATCACCTCATCCGCCCTTTTCGTCTTCAGTTCATGGAAATGAGCATGAGGGCAAAGCTTTAACCTGCCACTGGGTTGGGCACCCTGGATTTCCAGAGGAGCTGAAAGAGAAAAAATTGTGTAGCTCATTAAGCAGTAATGTCTGCTGCCTTGCAACCCTGCAGACCCTTTTGCTAGGCTCTCATTCCTCAAAGCTGCTTGCTGCCAGTCCATGAAAAAGTTTTACAAAATGAGAAAATTGCTTCATATTTAAAATGCCTATAACAAAAATATTGAGTACATCCCTATTTTCTTTCTGCTTCTTACTGCCTCGTTATAAATTTCCGTGTTTTTGTTAGTGCTGATGGCATGGACTAATCTTTCAGACCCAACACATTAGCATTATATAAATACAGCAACTAAGATTTGGAAGGAAGTTTAATGTTTATTTAGCCTAGTGGAATCACTACTCAGATATTTGAATGTCACTTGAAATATCCTTTGTTTATTATTACCATTCTCTGAGACATCTCCCCTTTCATGGAACGCAAAACATTCCAAGGCATTCTTAAACTCTTATGTATGTAATAAAATGTGTACCTTCTAGGTATTGATATGTATTTCCCACCTCAGAATCATACAGAAAACATTTAATTCATTTCCCTGTAAAAGCCCATGAATTCTTCCATGACCAATATGTCTTTCCCTATTTTTCATTCTTACATGAAAATACCCTCTACATAAACAACTATTGCATTGTACTTTAATTGTGTTTACTTACTATAACCTTAATTAGGATAGAGAAGTCGACTTTTATATTTGTATTTCCAGTATATAGAATTGTATCTGGAAAGATTGCTAGTTTATAAATTTTGTTAGTGAATAGTTGTCCTCAAATACTTGAAAATAGCTACAAGGTCTCCCCTGGTTCTTTGTTCCCTTAGGGCAACAAACCTATATCTTATCATAGTTTTGCATAAGAAATATTTCCCCTTTTAACCATCAAATCCATCAGTTTACCTACATCTCTGCTCACCTGTTCTACTTTCTCTTTTACTGCATAAAACATGTGTCCTTCCTCCTATCAAAGGTCACTGCCCCTACCTGAGTTCTGAATTCCATCGCCTCCTACCCGCAAGGGTTTTTATCAGGTATTTATTCTGCCTCAGGTTCTATGTCATCAATCGCTTCCTCTTTTCCTACAGACTTATGCCCATTGGCATCAGCATGCCTTAATATCTATAAAGGTTTATTTTTTTCTTTTTGAAAAAAGCCTTCCTGTTTCCTTGCCAGGTATTGTCCCATTTCTCTACTTCTCTACATAATGCCTTAAAAGCAATCTTTTTTTTTTTTTTTTTTTTTTGCTGTTTCAAATTTTCATGTCTTATTTTTTTTTGGTATGCAATCCAATCTGGCTGTTATCCTCAATCCTTAAATAAAATACTTATTATCAAAACTACCACTGATCATTTGTTGATTTCTTAGCATGGCATGGTTGAAAATATACTCTTTCTTAGAAAACATTCTCCAGGCTTCTGTAATGCTGCATTTTCCAGCCATTCTTCCTAAATCTGTCTGTCTTAGTCGTTCGTTCTTCCTCTCCCACAATGTCTCCAAAAGTTGTGTTTTTCTGTGCCAGACACTCTGTTATTCTCTGTCAATGCTCTTTCTCAGGTGGCATCTTCCAGTCTCAATCTCTTAAATACTATCTACATGCTGATGAATCTCCAGATTTTTCCCAGTCCAGATTTCTCTGTGAGCCCATCCATTTGCCTATTCAACGTCTGCCACTGGAGGTAACACGTGTTCCAGACCAAACATTCAAAACAGGACTCCTGATATTGTGCACTCCTTCAAATCTGTATCTCCTGCACACCTGTTTTCTCTGACTCAGTAAATGGCACCATTCACCCCAGTTGCCAAGCCAAAAACCTAGTCATTATTAATTATTTCTTTTCTTTCACATCCCATATCCAATTCATTAGTCAGTTTCCATTGATTCTGCTGCCAAAACTAGTGAGAGACAGGACTAGCTGGATTTCCTGGGCTGACTAAGAATCCCCAAGCCTAGCTGGGAAGGTGACCACATCCACCTTTAAACATGGGGCTTGCAACTTAGCCCACACCCGACCAATCAAAGAGCTCACTAAAATGCTAATTAGGCAAAAACAGGAGGTAAAGAAATAGCCAATCATCTATTGCCTGAGAGCACAGCAGGAGGGACAAGGATCAGGATATAAACTCAGGCATTGGAGCCTGCAAGGTCAACCCACTTTGGGTCCCCTCGCCTTATATGGGAGCTCTGTTTTCACTCTATTAAATCTTGCAACTGCACTCTCTTCTGGTCCGCGTTTTGTTACAGCTCAAGCTGAGCTGTCTTCACTCGCCTTCCGCCACTGCTGTTTGCCCCCCTTGCAGACCCGTCACTGACTTCCATCCCTCCCGATCCAGCAGGATGTCTGCTGTGCTCCTGATCCAGCAAGGCACCCATTGCCACTCCCGATCGGGCTAAAGGCTTGCCATTGTTCCTGCACAGCTAAGTGCCTGGGTTCATCCTAATTGAGCTGAGCACTAGTCCCCGGGTTCCACGGTTCTGTTCCATGACCCATGGCTTCTAATAGAGCTGTAACACTCACCACATGGCCCAAGATTCCTTTCCTTGGAATCTGTGAGGCCAGGAACCCCAGGTCAGAGAACACGAGGCTCGCCACCATCTTGGAAGTGGTCCGCTGCCATTTTGGAAGCGGCCTGCCACCATCTTGGGAGCCCTGGGAACAAGGACCCCCGGTAACACTAGGTCTCAAATTTAACAACTTTTCATCAACTCTATTGCCATAAAGTCAGTCTAAAAGCTATTGTCTTTCTAACTGGAATATTTAAACCGCTTTCAACTGACCTTTTTGATGGGATGCTTATCCTATCACTCCTCGTTTAACAACTTCTAAGTAGTGTGAGTAAAGGCAAGATGCATCATTTATCATTTTTCTGCTGTGACATTAGGTCATGTCCTTGCAGTTGCGATTTACTTGGCATTATTAGTATGTAATGATTTCAACATGGGCAGGAAGATTAAAGGGAGAATTGAGAGTACAGAGTGAAGTAAATGAAAGGAAGGAGAAAAAGAACAGAGGAAAAAAAGAGAAGAGGGAAAAACAGAGGAACAAGAAAAAGAATTCAATGGAAAGAAAATGAAACAGATGGTAAGAAAGGGGAAATGAAAGAAATGGAGAGAGAAAAGTGGGAGATTAACAGCTGTCTTTCACTTTGAGGGTTGTTATTTAAAAACCCTCAGTTGGAAACACCTTATTTACATTTTGGTTAAAGAGAGTACCAAATTCTTACACAGACAGGTCAATTTATTATATTTATATTGCTTTTGCTTTTTAATGTCAACTATTTTATGTAAACTAAGATAAACTTATGTAAGTTTAAGCACTTGTTTTAGGAATGCACGTTAACTGTAATAGATGGCTAGGAAGAACAGAGGCTATGCAACACTCCTGGAATTTGTAAGGATCGTCAACTACTAATAAACAGTTGTCCTAAAAAACAAACAAACAAACAAAAAACCCTGCGATGTTTTCTGTTGCAAATAAAATTCCTGGCATGAATCTTTAATAGCTCCACTTACACTACCCCTAATTTCCTACTCTGCAGTCAGATTGGCTGTGACCCTCTTACACAACAAGAACGTTACTGTCTCAGGGTCCTTGCTCCTGTTTCCTCTTTCTAGAGAACACTTGTGTTTCAGAGTTTGGCACAGCTCCTTCCCCACAGCTCAAGTATGTACTGAAATGCCACCTCTGGGGAGAGGTCATGACTAAACAAACACCCTGGCTCACTGGTCTTCCCTTGACCACCCCTGGCTGACACACACACGACGTGCACACACACACATACACAACCACCTCTTTCTATGACCTAATCCTCCTTTATTTTATGCATTCTCTGAAATCACACCATTTATTATTTTCATGCCTTTTATATACGTACTTCACTACATTGTAAACTCCTTGAGAGCAGGAGCTTTGTCTATCTCGGTTACTGCTATACACACAGTACTAGACAGCATGCAGTAGGTTTTCAATTAATATATACTGAATGGATAAAACCATGATAAAAGATTGAAAAGTTTTTATTCCTTTTTAAGTTTGTTCAGAACTTTTGAAAATATGGTACTCGGAAGACAATACTATCATTTATGCTCATCCTGTCATTCTAGACACTACAATTCTTTAATGTAGCTCGATAATTGATCAGTTTCCTTGGTGACTGCATAGAATGTGTGACTCATATGCAGTTTTTATTATTTTTTATGTGCTTTTCTTAACCATTTCCTTATTCTGTTTTCTGCAGTTAATAGTTTCTCATATATCTGTAGTTTTACACATTTTTTAAAGATGTGATGAATTCCATTTAAAAATGTGAGTGTCAGAAAGGTGGGGATATTTACATCAAAGCACATAGTCAGTGGTAGTGGTGGGCTCACCATATACAATGTTCTTAGTTTTTATTCCAGTTCTCTTTGCACTACCCCATAAGACCTTTAAAAGGTCTGCTTTATCTCAAATAATGTCATTATATGTCCATGGATAGATATCACCTGTCATTGTTAAAGCTGATGCTTGGACCAATACAGCATTCTGCTCAGTTTCTTCACTTTCACTTTCATTTCTGGGTTCTGAGGAGAATTGAAGAGCAGGGATGTAGGTGCTCATCTTGCTTTTGAGACACCGTGTTACAACAGGAGATGAGAAATAACTATGTTGTCTGAACCTCAATGCAGTGGTGTTTCCTCTGTAATATAGGGCTCATTCTAAGGCTATCTTACCCCCAAACGATGCCTGAGGGTTCCCATGAACCACTTTTTTGGTGGCAATTTACCTGTTGGAGGAACAGCCATTGAATGAGCTGATGCAGCTCTTTCTTCATCTTTGCTTTCTTCATTTTCTTCTTCTGATTCTGCAGTAGAATGAAGAAAAGGTTTAGGATCAGTGCTCTACTCTGAAAGCCATTTCCAAGGATGAAAATTGACTGAGAACACAAGTTTCCCAGGTCTTTACTGGGATACATTCTCACAATAGAGGCCCAAGAGTTTTCTTTTGGAATCTGGCATTTGGAGGCCGTTACCTGTGGAAGAGGAAGATGATGCAGAGCTTTCTTCAGATTCCCGGTCCTCACTCTCACGTTGATATTCTGAAACAATATAAAAAAACAGATTTGTTTGCAGAACTAAGTTTCAAGAACCTACACACTTTACACTCTTTCCCTTTCACTAATGAGTAGATGACTATGCTAGCATGGGGCTACTGTATGAAGCATGAAGATTTGGCCCATTCACTAAGCAACAAGTTTGTTCTAGAGGAATGTAGCCTTCAGCCAAGTGTAAAGGGAGGCCGCGTTTCTATAAAATAAAGGGGAGCTTGTTATCTGTCTGCTTATAGAATTCAATGAATAATCAAAATCTTTAATCAAAGTTTTTATGCAACGGCATTGTTCATTCTGAGCAAAGAAAAGTACATCTATGTATAAAAATTATCTACAACAAAAATAATTCCAGATGCATGTCCAAGAATTGGGAATATACTCATTTATATATTACAGTCTGGAATAGGAATCAGCAAACCACAGCCTGTGGGTCAGATTCAGCCCGACACCCATTTTTATAAATAAAATTGTATTGGGACACACATCAACACACCCATCATGTACTTATGGTCTGTGCTGTTTGTGAGCTGCAATAGATGATTTGAGTCATGACAGAGGCCACATGGTCCAGAAAGATTAAAATATTCATTATCTTTCAAAGCAAAAGTGCAACAACCCGTGCTACACAGAGAAAGAAACGTCTGTACCCCACCAACCCATGAATTCCCTATTACTTCCTTGAATAGAAATCTAGATTTCCAGACATTTCTTTCCGGGGCAAAGCCACAGCTAAGCAAAAGATAATGGATATCCCCTATTGTACATTCTGTATCTGGGAACAACACTAAAGTCCACATTGTGAAACCAGAGTATCCCAGAATAGCTAAAGGCTATCAGCCTTTAATAATGTCTCCAGCACCATATGCGTATTTAACAAATATTTACTGAGCACTTATTATATGTCAGGTATCATTTCTATGTATTTAGGATATGTTCATGAACAGGGCAGACAAAGATCCCCCACATGGCTTACATTTCAGCAGAGGGAGACATAATACTATAATGAATCAGTAAACTGAAGGGAGTGATGAGGGTGAGGATTGTTAAAGAAAAAGTAAACAGCAGTGTAAAAGTAATTGGGGTTAATCAGAGTATTATGTGGCATTAAATATGACAGACAGGAGGCCGGGCCTGGTGCCTCATGCCTGTAATCCCAGCACTTTCGGAGGCTGAGACAGGAGGATCACCTGAGATCAACAGTTTTAGACCAGTCTGGACAACATGGTGAAACCCCATCTCAACTAAACACAAAACAAAACAGAACCAATTAGCCAGGCATGGTGTAGGGTGCCTGTAAATTCAGCTACTAAGGAGGATGAGGCAGGAGAACTGCTCTAACCAGGGAGGTGGAGGTTGCAGTGAGTCAAGATTGTACCACTGCACTCCCACATGGGCAACAAAGCGAGACTCCATCTCAATAAAAAAAAAAAAAAATGGTGAAGAAGGTGCTAAAATGGGGATAGTTTATTCTCCACTTGGAGAAGGGAAAAGTAAAGAAGACAAAAACTGAATAAGAATAGTAGAGAAAGAATGAGTTACTAGCTCTTAGTACGACAATACTCACCTAAACTCAGCTGTTTTGGGTGACTCAATAGGCGGTCCTTAAGTATTTTGCCTGCCATTTGCGCTTTCTCAGTGATATTATCAACTAGGTTTCCAGCGTTGTTCACCATGAAATTCAAACCTTTTCCTAGACTGCGTAATTCTTCCGTATTTAACACATTATTTTCCATCAAGTCATCAAAAATGCCATCTAGAATGTTCCTGGTCAGCAACTTCACCATGTTGACTGGATCCTCTTTGGATGGTTTCTTATCTGTGAGAATGACAGAATCTTAGATATAGGCAGAACTTTAGATAGCCCATTCTCCATCAAGTCATCAGAAATGCCATATAGAACGTTCCTGGCCAGCAACTTCACCATGTGGACCAGATCATCTTTGGATGGTTTCTTGTCTGTGAGAATGATAGAATCTCAGATATAGACAGACCTTTAGTTAGCCTATTCTAGGGTAGTGCTTCCCAAATTTTAATGTGCGTAAGAATCACCTAGAAAGCTTAGTAAGCAGCGCTTCCTGCACCCTAGTCCAAACAATTTTCATTTCATAGGTGAGAATGGGCCATGAATTTTCCCTTCTAACAGTTTCTCAGGTGATGCCAAAACCTCTGGTGCAAGGACCACACGTGGAGAAACTCCTGTCTTGTTCACCTAGCCATTTCCATAGATGGTGAAATAGATTCAGAGAAGCTAAGTGAATTCGCTACGGAACTTAGTGACAGCTGACTCAGTTTAGTCTTTGCATCTCCTACGATCTCTTCATTTTCTTTCACTTTTATCAATAACTAGTTTGAAAAACTAGTTTGAAAAGACATTATATTCAATATGTGCAGCAGTAAAACATAAATGCATTCATCTGTAAAATAACACCTTTTTTGTTTCCTTTATCAAGGCTGACAGGGAAGCTCGGCATGCCGAGACTGAGAGTACATATTGTAGCTGACCCATTTGCTGCTGTATTTGAAAGTTCACACAGAGAGTAGAAATATGGAGGAAATGCAAGTTACCCTGTTCAACCGTCTGGCTTCTCACCCTCACTGTAACAGAACACTTATAAAATGGGTGAGAACTGCAGGTCAGTATGAGTTAAAAGAAGAGTCTAAAAATCAAAGGAAAAGTTTAAGAACAGAGATCCAGATGTGTCTACATTTCTCTTTTTTTTGAGACGTTGTAACATATTCTTGAAGACACTTGGTTTGCATTTTTAGTGCTGTGACCAAGCTCACATATCTCCCGCTACACCCAGAGTAAAATAATTAGGTCTTGGGAGAACCCTCTCCAGTCTGCCTTCTTCTTTCCCTTGAACTATAGTGTTCTCAAAGTACAACCATAAACAACAGAAAAACTGAAGCCACTCACCAGCCATGGCTGCTACTGCTCCCCGGAAAGGAAAAAGCTACGAAAGTGAAAGCAATTTCAACAGGCTTGCTCTCCTCTGAATGGACCAGCTTGTTGATACCACCCTAAATGGAAAACTACAGGTCCTCAAATTCTCTTTCTCTTTGCCAAGATACAATTAGACTCCTGATCTCATATATGTATAACGGCTTTCTTTTGGAAAAGAGAAAGCAGAAGGTGTTTTTTGTATTTGATATAACAAAGTGATCAAAATGAAAGCATGCACACTTGCACGAGAACACGTCTCTGCATTCTGTTTTTTCTCATCTATTTTTAGCCCGTTAATAAATCAAATTAAACCTCCATTTGTCTCTCTGCTGCCATCAGCCTCGAAATGGTCAGGAGTCTTTGCTTCATTGATACTTCCTCAACCCTGGAAGTGTGATTTTGGAAGGTAAAAGAGGTTGACTGAGGACCGGCAAATGGTGATACTCCCTTTACTGTTTGAAAAACCCACATAAGTTATCTCTTATCTTCTCTTTCCAGATCCACTCACTTTTAAATTGGGATGTTGTTTATTCATGAGATTAATGTATTTTCATTCAATAAATGAACAAGAGACTCACTTATTTTTGAAATAGATATATGTGTGCCATTAAAATCAAACAAGAAAAGTTTATAAAATGGAAAAAGATCATCTAGATTCCTTAATGTCACTTGACAATGTAACCACAGTTATATGCGTAGCTTGCATCTTTGTGTGTAATTTTTTCTATAATTTTATAAAACACTTAATATGACACTGATTTTATTCATGCCTCTAATCATTGGCCTCCTAGCATTTTTGGCCTTCACTTTAATTGTGAACTAACCTTATGACTAGGTTTTGGCCAACATGATGCAGCAGAGCGATCTGATGGAGTTTCCAGCCTGAGTTTTACAAATCCTTGTGCCCTTCTCCCTCTTGAACACCTGAAGCTAAATGAGGATAAGCCTGGGCTAGATTGCTAGCTGAATAGAGACCTCGTGTGGAGAAGAGCCCAGTCATCTCAGCCAAGGCCATCCTAGACCAGCCTCCAGCCAGGTGTTTTCCCAACCTATGAGATATCCCAGCCTTGTCAGCAGAGATGCCTACCCTACACACAGATGGTCTCAGACACAATCCCAGCAGTGATGAAAAGAAATATTCAGCTGACTGGCCACCTTGTAACAATAATAAATGCTTCTTGTGTGAAGCCACTGTATTTCAGGGCGTTTTGATACTCAACACTAGATAACTAACAGACACATAATCACCTACAGATTTTTTTTCTATAGTGGCAGTATCTTAAAATTATATTGCTGATAATTTGCTTAATTTAACTTCCACAATATGTGACAAACATTTAAAAAACTCAACACATCAAACACTATCTGATTTTTGATGGCTGTATACTATTTAAAATGTGGATAGATTATAATTTTAAAAAGTTTTGTCAGTAGTACAGAAAAGACTGCAATAAAAATCAGATTTTTATGATTTTTATCTTTGGTCCCACAAATGAGGTGTAATTTCTCTAAGTTATTTGCCTTACTTTTTAATGACAATCTTTGGAACAACCAATAATGCCTGTTTGATCTATTTCATGATATAAAGATTACAAACAATGCTATCTGTCTCATATGAAAAATGAAATGTAGCTCATTCACACTGCCAGTTCTTTCTCCTATTCTATCTAATATTTGATAATAGTGTGATTTCCAATTATTTCCTTGATTCATTTTGAAATATAATAACTTAACTCACACTTCTTCTTTCATCAATTTTGCATAGTAGCTTAATTCTCCTCTGTGTAAGTTGATCAGAGTTTCCCAAGTACAGTTTACTCCATCTCTTCTCACCTCTGCACCATTCTTTCCCAATTTCCTATTGTAGTAAAAATACATACTCCCAAATTGACCATCTTAACATTTTTACATGTAGTATTTGGTGATACTAAATATATTCATAATATCATAACAGTCACCCCCATCTACCTCCAGAATTCCTCTTTATCTTGTAAAACTGAAATTCTATATCATTAAATAATAACTCCCCATTTCTTCCTCCCCACTGTCCCTGACTATCACCATTCTACTTTCTCTCCTTATGAATAGGATACCCTGGGTACCATATATGTAAGTGAAATCATACAGTGCTTGTTTTTCTGTTGCTGCCTTATTTCACATAGCGTAATGTTCTCAAGTTTCATTCATATTGCAACAAATGTCAGAACTTCGTTTTCAAGGCTAAAATTCCATTATGAGTATATACCACATTTTGCTTATCCATTTATCATTTGTTGGTTAGTTGTGTGGCTTTCACATTTTAGATATTGTGAACAATGCTGCTATGATTGTGGATGTATAAATACATCTTTGAGATCCTGCATTCAATTATTTTAGGTACGTACCCATAGATGGAATTTCTGGATCACAGGGTAACTCCACTTCTGATTTCTGCAGAACCATCATACAACTTTCCACAGTAGCTGTACCAATTGAAATTCTCACCAACAGATCACAGGGTTCTAATTATTCTACATCCCTACAAACACTTGTTATTTTCTGTTTGTTTGTTTTGATGGGAGTCATTCTAATGGGTACGAGGTGCTATGTCACTACAGTTTTCGGCATCATCTGCTTTCATCCTATTGTTAGGGCTAAGTCGCAGTCGGTTTTCTTAATTGGATATTATGCGAGCCATAAAGATAAAAACTCCGGTTAGCTTCTTCCACTTCATTTAGACTCACCCACCATTTTCAGTGAAATTATATTCTCTATTAGAAAAAGAAAAAGACACAGTTCATTTGTCTTCACCTTTATTGAAATACAAAATGTTAAGCATGCAATCTGTACCAGTAAAGGTGTTTCTTGAAGTTGATAAAGGAGGGCTTGGCTGCTTGTGGTTTCCTGCTGGGGAGAGAAAGAACAGAAGGTCAAGACAGTCACCCCTTGCTTCCTTCTTCCCATTCCTCATCATGATTCTTCTTCCATCCTCTTCCATGTGCTCTTGACACTTCCCTTGACTTCCATCTGTGAACCTGTTAATCTTTTCACTAAAATGTGATCTTCATAAAATCTAAGTAAAATTATGTTACTTCTTTTTTCTAAAGCACTAGAAAGGCTTCTTGTCTCACTGAGATAGTAATTTTTAAAGGTTTACCATGTGATAACCAAGAACCATGAGATCTGGCTTCTCACTGCTTCTCCTAATTTGTCTCTGCCATTTTCCCCACTCACATTCTCTTTTGGTCACACTGTCTCCTTGCAGTTCTTTAAACATGTTTAGTGCATTGCTACCCTAGGACATTTGCACTGGCTATATTCTGTGCTGGGACGCTTTTCCTGAATAAGAACCATATGATTCACTTTCCAACTCTGTCCATTCTTTGTTCTCATTTCATTATTTCAAGGAAGGCTTTCCTGAGTGCAATATCTATAGGAGTACAGCATCCATCATTTTGTATGTTTCTTTGTCTTCATTTATTTTTCCTCTTATTTTATTTATTTATTTATTTATTTATTTATTTATTTTTTGCATCTAGCTTGTGATATATTTACCTATTTATGTATTCAGAGAATGTTTCTCTTCACTAGTATATAAACTTCCTCAGTGTAAGGAATCTAGCTACTTTGTTAACTGGCATATTCCAAGCATCTAGAACAGAACCTGGTACATGGTTAATGTTGCAAATATTAGTCAAACAAACAATTAAACATACAAATGTAACCCCATTGGATGGATTAAGCACTGAAAACTCTTATGCTGAAATGATGCAATATTGTGACTGGAGTGTCAGAAACCAAGAGTAAAAGAGTACGTGGCAAATATTGGAAGTATTGAGAAAACCTTTACACAGTTGAGTATAAAATATAAGCCAGGCGAGGTGGCTCACGCCTGTAATCCCAGCACTTTGGGAGGCCGAGGCGGGCGGATCACTGGGTCGGAAGATCGTAGCCATCCTGGCTAACACGGTGACACTCCGTCTCTGCTAAAAATACAAAAAGCAATTAGCCGGGCCTGGTGGCAGGCGCCTGTAGTCCCAGCTACTCAGAAGGCTGAGGTAGGAGAATGGCGTGAACCCGGGAGGTGGAGCTTGCAGTGAGCCGAGATCGCGCCACTGCACTCCAGCCTGGGCGACAGAGCAAGACTCCATCTCAAAAATAATAATAATAATAATTTAATTATGTATCTGAGATGGAGATTGATAATAGGCTTATAATATAGTGTTAAATGAAGATGCTATGAGTGAATAAACTACTCTTTTGGTCCAGATTCAATATACCCAATCTATAACATTTTGATTAAAAGAACAAAAATAAAGTATATCTATCAGCATGAGAGCTTGAAGGAACTTCTGGAAAGGGCTGAGGGTCTGAAAACAATCTCTGAGTGATTTGTGATCTGTGTTGTGAGAGCATTCTGAGAACGAGAGACTGGATCAACACAAACTGTACACTGTAGGGTTTATTTTGTACTGATCTGGTAAGGGTACCTGATAAGGGTACCTGAACACCAGTAATGTGGTATTTGCTGTGGTATCCTCACTCAGAAAATCAACGTACTGCTTTCTGCAGAGTTAGTGCCTCTGTTTTCTCATTTTTGTTCAGAGTTTGATGCAATGTTTGGTAACTCTCTCTCTCTCTCTCTCTCTCTCTGTCTCTGTGTGTGTGTGTGTGTGTAAGAAAAAGAGAGAAAAAGATAAGGATAGAGTATGAGATGTAAATGAATATAAATAGTAATGGATGCAGGAGTATGTTCCTATTTTAATAAATGCTACCCTGGGTTTTTCATTATCACATTCAGTCTTGATTTTCCTTACGTCCTTGATTGATTGATTGCCTAATTAATTGTAGAGTTGGGGGAACCCAAATGTAAAAAAAAATCAAATAAAAAAATACCAGATAATCACCAGACTGCATCAACAAGGTACACTAATTTGGCCGTCCAAGTACTCAACTATCATTGGTCATCGGACCTCACCTCCAATATCACACTCTCATTTA